ATAACTAATTCATTAAACTCAGTAATCCATTAATCCACAAATGGAATAATCCATTGAGAGCTCTCATGTTCACCTCTTAAAGACCCCATCTCTCAGCACTGACACATTGGGAGTTAAGTTTCAATATGAATTTTGGAGGTGACATCCAAACCATAGTAGTCATTCTATTGGAGTTCAGTAAATAAAGGAGAAAGAAGGTATTACCATCAGAAAAGAAAGTTTGGGCTCACTTCCAAATTACAGTAGAAAAATATGTTTCTGTTCTGCGTTTTGAGCCGTAAGGAAAAAATGTAACTTCCATTTTTCTGAAAGGTAATGTGTCAATATTTATCAAAGTTAAATATACTTGATGCAGCAATTCCATCTTCAGATGTTTATTTTTATGATAAATTTCCACAGATAACTGTTTATCAGATGTTCTTCAAATAAATTTTTAAACCATTGTAAATCCCTAGTGATAAGAGATTGACAAAATAAATTATAGTGCATTGCAAACATAATTTTGATAAAGTATAATGCTAAAAATAATTTGCTGACTTTAAAAAGCCTCTCCGATGATAGTACAGCTTATGATATAGTACTATCTCATTCCTAAAAATATTTATTTATGCATTCAAAATGGCTAGAGAAATAGATGACTAAATAGTTTCAGAGATTTTCATTTGAACTATTTCTGGCCAGTTACTCTTATGTTTCTATGTCATATAGATTACAATGTACATCCATAGTGTGAAAGTTTAAAACAATTTTAACATAGAAATCAATGGGAATAATATTATTATATAAAAAATTTTATCATATTATGCAAAATTACACAAATGTTGTTCATAAATTGTTATCAATTGGTCAAAAGTAAAACAGTATTTTATTAACTCATTTTGCAAATTGAGAAAGTATTAATCCAGAAAGAAGCTGAGCATAGTTTATATATTTTTATAATAAACTTACCAAATTTTTAGCAAATGAGTAGAAAATGTATTCAAATTAGAAATGAAAGAGGGTGATTATTACTGACCTAAATATTTGCTAAACTTCACCAGGGCAGCTATCTGGGCCTGGGCTTTTGCTTGTGGTCATTGTTTTCAATTATCTTATTATTTACTAATTCTAAATTTTCTTCAGTAAATATGTATTACTAATAAAATATTTTAAAATTATGTTAATTTATAAATTTAATAAATTTATTATATTCATTTTTAATAAAATATTAAAGAGGCACAAGTAATAAAGCTAAAATTCAATGGCAAATTAGGAAAATCTCATGCCTATAATCTCAGCGTTTTGGGAGGCCAAGGTGGGACAATCTTTTGAGGCCAGTAGTTGGAGACCAGCCTTGGCAACATAGCAAAACCCTGGCTCTACGGAAAATACTAAAAATTATCCAGGCATGGTGGTACACACCTCTAGTCCCAGCTACCGGGGAAGCTGAAGTGGAAGAACCATGTGAGCCCAGGAGTTTAAGGCTGCAGTAAGCCATAAATCACACCACCGCACTCCAGCCTGGGCAACAGAGCAAGATCCCATCTCCAAAAAACAGAAAGAAAAAGAAATGCAAAGCATTTTGCAAAAAAAATTGACACTTTTGCAAGAACATTTTCTTTTTCAGTTTGTTTTTATGTTACTCTTTATTTTTGCTCCAGTTATTCTGATGTCCTCAAATTGATTCAAATTCAATTAATTTCTTTTATTGAGAGCCTACTATTTGTTAGTCCATCTAATTATGACTAGAATGAAGTCATAAAGATTGCTGACTTAAACATAATTCAAATTCATTTAACCATATTTTCATGAAGTAAATTTTCCTCCCAATTTCAAATAAATTTCCCATCCTATAGATTTTTCAACATTATACCACCACCACCACCAGAACAATAAAACCTGTACATTAGGTATTTTAATATTAAATAGCAATTTGCTTTATGCTTAAAGGGAAGATGAATCTCCAATTCCACAAATGTAAAAAAGAATAAGATCACAGGAAATGTAGACATCTGCATTTACTTAGGGATGTAATCAAAATTAGGACCTTCTGAGAGCCTCTAAGGCTGAACTCTACTGAAACAGCTCATGCAATTTACCATATTAATATTGACCCTATGATATTTAAATACATCACAAGCATGGCAAGGGGAATCACTAGAATCTATAGCAATGTATTTTACTTTTGTTGATATACTCTTGCTGTTCACATTGTCCATTTAAGTTACGTACTTGGGTCAATTTTTACCTGTCATTATTTTTAACTTCAAAATTATCTTTATTGGTGAGTGATTTTGACTTTTGTGATAAAGCTTCTTGTTGGAATATTTTTAATAGCAAATGATCACTTCGGTCACAATTTCATGGTTAGAGCATTCACTGCAGAACATTTAAATTTATTTTCTTTCATATTTATAGTTAAAAATTTTAGGCTCTATGCAGTAGGCTTCTGTAGTGAGGTTTTGAGGGACTTTTGAAACAAATATTTCATATGATATTTAAATTTTACTTGAAGAAAACATTTATATTGCAAAGGCATATATAATATAAGAAATTATTAAATACTTAAAAATGGGAAAACACACATGTACAGAGTGTCAGATTATTCTTACTTTCTAAAATGGCTTCCTCAATGTAAAATTTTGGTTTTGATTTGAAGCTAAAAATAAACAGGTTCTAAAATTCTCCAACCCCATGAAACATCACAAATTAACACAATGTCAATTTTAAAAATCATATTAGAGAAAACTCGGTAATCTACAAATTAATGTTTATGTATTTAACAAATATGGAATTGGTTTGCGAGTACTTTTGAGTCATAGACTGACTTGTATCGTATAAATATTTCACATAAAATGATTAAAAACATCAGCAACCTACTTTCTTTTAGATGGTTTGGAAATTGTCATTCAAATCATAAAGTTATTTTTAAATGATAGGCTCATATTTATCTACTTCCATAAAGAAATTTTTAAACTAAGTATACTTTAGATTTAACTGAATGTGCCTTTCAAATCATTCAATTACCATTTAAACTACCTACTTTGGGCAATTACAGCTCTCAGGAATCCTACTTTCTGTCAACATGATAACATGGATAGACTTATCCTACTGCCTGAAATGATGGAAAACAGATGAAATTTATAAGACAATGGCTTATAAGACACTGGAAATCAGGCCACAAAGAACAGAGATTTCTAAGAGATGGCAAACAAAGTGAGCCAATGATAAACACAGCTTGAAAATATTCCTAGGCTGAGGATTGAGGTACCCAGGAGGATACTGGTAAACTCCTTAAGTTAAAGAGTTAGATCTGAAACTCCAGGAGACTTGGCTGACAAAATTTATGGGATGAAGGACTGGACAAAATAGTGCTGCACAGAGAAAAAAATTCCAGAGATCTGCTGAGGTTCCCCTTTGAGTATGTAGCTGACTAGTGATCAGTACAATCATGTTAGAAAATTAGCCAAGACTGAGAAAAGAACCTACCAGGAAAGATGCAAAGTAACAGTGCCCAGTACTCACATAGGTCCAAGAATAGTGCCTCTTCCCACCATAAACTGAGAAACTTCATGATTCACAGGAAATTTTGTAAAGTGCAAAGACTGGCTGTGCTTTAGTAGTGGAGAATGAGGGGAATAATCAGACCAAAACAGAGTACTTGCTCAGGTCCTGACAAATTTTAAAAGTAAAACCCAGAAGGATGAAACCATTTTCAAGTAATTTTACTACATATCAGAAAAAAATCCCCAAAATAGGAATACAATACCATCACCAGGAATACAAGTATTTATCAACCAGAGAACTGAAATGTTAAAGGAAGTCCTTAGAACAGAAGGAAAATGACACTAGATAAGAATATTGATCTACACAAGGAAATGAAGAGTGCTGCAAATAGTGGCTACATAAGTAAATAAACAAGAATTTTTTTTCTTACTATTTAAATATCTTAATGGTAAGTGATCCTTTAAACAAAATTAATGACAATGCCGTAGGGAGTCTATACCCATAAGAATAAAATATGTGACAACAATAGCACAAAAGACAGGAGAGAAAAATGGGAGTATATTACTGTATGTTTCTTATGCTATATGTGAAGTGATGTAATATCACTTAAAGGTAGAATCTAAAAAGTAACAGGTGTTTATTATAAACCACAAAACATGCTCTAAAATAACAACAAAAAAAATGTATAGCCAGCACAGGAGATTAAACGTAATCTCAGAAAGTAATTTATTTAAAAGAAGGCTGATGAAGAGGATGGGGGACAAAGTACAATTGGGAAACTGCAGAACAAATAAGAAGATGATTAGCTTAAACCTAAGGATGTCAACCATCACATTAGATGTAAGTAATCTGACTGCCTTAAATAAAAACAATATGAGATTGTATTTGTTAAAAAAAAAAAAAGCAAAATCCTACTTTATACTGCCTAAAACAAACACACATTAAGTATACAGAAGCCACACTAATACAAATTTTTAAAAATCTGTAATGGCTATATTAATATCAAAGTAAATTTTATAGCAAATAATATTACTGAAGACAAGAAAGTTTATTTCCTAATAATAAAGGATCAGTTCAAGAGGACATACCAACCCTGAATATTAATATACCAAATAAATGAGATTCAAAATTTCAAGAGCTTACAGAACTACAAAGATAAATAGACAAATCCACACTTGTAGCTGGAAGTTTGAATGCTTTTCTCTTGATAAATGATAGAAAAAGTAAATAAAAAACAATAACAATATAAATGATTTGAGCAATACTCAAAAAATATGATTTAATTACCATTTATAGGATACCACACTCAACGACAAGACAGTAAATATTCTTTTTAAGATCACATGGAACATTTATCAAGAAGACCATATTCTGGACCATTGAAAATTTCTAAGTATATTTAGAATGAATCACATTATATGAATTATGTACCCTGGCAACAATGGGATAAAATTAGAAATTGAAAAACAGAAAGATTGCTGGATTTTCTACAACTATTTGGAAACTAATAACACACCCATGAATAAAAGATGAAATAAAATTGAAAATTAGAAATTATTTTGAACTGAATGAAAAAAAAAAGCCACAACATATAGAAATTTGTGAGTTGCCAACAGAACAATAGTAATGTGGAATTTATACCACTGAAAACCACCATTAGTAAAGAGCAAAGGTTTCAAATCAGCATCTACCTTAAGAAATTTAAAAAGAACAAATGAAAACAAAGTAAACAGAAGAAGGAAAAAGAAGATCAGAGAGAAAATCAGGGATATGCAAAACAAACAAACAAAAAAAATAGAGATAAACTATTATACCACAAGTTGGCTTTCTGAAGAGGAATAGACATAATCAACCGTATTTCTAAAATTAAAATAAAATACTATTTAAAAAAGCATTAACATGTGAAATAGGGATAAATCCTACAAAAGAAATGGAATACCTCTACAGTGACAACTACAAAATATTGATGAGATCAAATAATATCTAACTAGATGGAGGCATTGTGTTCATGGGTAAGAGGATTCAATATTGTTAAGTTGTTCCTTCTTTCCAAAGTTTTCTATAGGTTCAATATAATCAAAACCAAAATTTTTTCAGATTTTTTTAAATTAATGAATTCTGAAATCCATATAGAAATATGATGGACCTAGAATAACAAAAACAACTTTGAAAACATGGAACAAGTTGGAGGACTCACAGTATGTCATATCAACCGTTACTATAAAGCTGCAGTAAACAAGACAATGTGTTAGCATGTCATGTTCCATAAAATAGATCAGTAGAACAGAATGACTATTCCAGAAACAGACTAACACATATATGGGCAAACGATATTTGAAAAAAAGTACTTCTGTTGTACACTCTTGTTATCTAAAAAGTAGAAAGGAATTTTGGACTCTCTCATTTGCACCAGATCTGCTGTGACTTTTCAAATTTTTTCCTTCCAACCTCATTGTATTCCATAGTGAGGATGTAACATATGCATTAATATCTTTTTAAATGTGAAATTGAACATACTTTTGAGAATTGGGGAAAAAAGTCATACAGATAACATAATAACATCCTTGAAACCTAAATCCACAAGTAGAATCTGTTAGAACCAGAGAAACCTTGTTCATGCTGACTCAAAATGACGTTCCTGCCTACCTCTTAAAAGGGAACTGTTAGCCTGACTATTATGGTAATATGGTAAAACAAACAAACACAAATGTGTTTGTTTACCTTTAGAGTTTTACACATAGTTTATCTTTGATGAATTTTTGAAACATGCAAAAATGAAGTTAAACAGTATGCATTATTTTTGTTTCTGGTTTCTTTCGCTCAGAATTGTGTTTGTGAGGCTCATTCATGTTTTTTAGGTCTAATTTGTTAATTTGTCAGTATTGATAAGTAATACTTTACAAGGATATTGCTATTCCATTTACATTTTCAATTTTATTGCCATAAATATCTTCGTAATATGCATTTTTAGTGCTTTAGTATCTGTCACCACTAGGTGGATATTCTAATTCCTTTTATGAATTATTTGTTTACTTTCTCTTTTTTGTGATTGTTCTTGCTATTTATTTTATTAATTTTTGGATCTCTTGGAAGAAACTCTAGTTTTCTTAATCCTCTATGCTGTGCCTTTGTTTTGTAGTTTATTAATTCCATCTCTCTCTGGTTATTTTTTTCTTTTCCAAGCTTTTGGAGGATTTCCTTAGCTATTCTTTTTTTTTTTTTTATGTCAGGAGAATGTGGAATACATACACTGGAATTTGTTTAATTTTGTTTCCAATTTATTTTTAAATTTTAAAGAATCCTATAGTTATGCTTTTGAGAATCCTTAATCATCAGACAAACATCAGTGACAGAAGGTTCCTTTTCCTAGGGTGACACCAATGCTTTACCAGCCAGGTGCCAGGCAAGAACAGTAGGACTAGTCTTTCTTGGCTTGCCTCTTCTGGTGTAGAGCAACATACCTGTGGGGGAATTAGGGGTAAGAGTGATGAGTGCTCCAGTATTCTTAGGCAGAGGGATGGAGCTCACAATCTCTGGACTATACTCACATGGAACATGGAGCTTGAAAGAATAAGAAATGCCAGTGTCTTGCCCTTTCCAGGGAGATTCCACAGCCCTTGACTGAGAACTTAGGGTGAGGGAAGAAGCCTTATCTTCTTAGCCATACCCACTCAGAGTGAGGCTTTGGTCACACTGACCTGAGGGTAGGAGGCAAAAATGGGTGTGGCTCAAGTGCCAGAGACTCTCACTCCTCTTTCTGAGATTTAGTGGATTTCCTTGAACAAATGTTTCTTCATTTGATGTATGCCCTTAGTGTTGCAGAATTTTCTCCTTAGTTCAGCTAAAACCGGGTTCTTGTCACATGACCAGGAAAGATTAGACTCAAGGACACATAGAAGGGTGAGGAACATAATTTATTGAGCACAAAGGGAATCCTGCTAATAGGCCCTCTACTGCACAAATTGAATCCCAGGTCACCACACAGGAATTGAAGAGGCCAGCTCTCTCCAACTTTATCATTAGATCACCTGTCTTTACAATTAGGAATTGAAGAGGCTGGGCCTCCTGTTTCTATCTCCTATCTCCAGTCTAAATTAGGACAAAATTTCCAAACACTTTTATATCCATATATTATATATAGATGTAAACCTATAACAAAACATATATGTAGACAAATTGTTCCAGTTATGATTGCTTCACTAGGGAGGATATCTACAGAGGCCCTCATGCTGTCATTCAACATTTTCAACTTTTAGTTCTATACATACACTTGAAATTCCTTTATAGCATTACATTTAATAATACACATATTTTATAATAATTTTCTACTATTAATTATTGTTATCCTCATCATATTCCTGCTTTTTTTAAAAAAAAAATCTTTATTTGTTGGTTATAACTTTTTTCAAGAAGTTTCCTTATATTAATTGTATGGATGCTACCCTTTTTGAATTCTTGCATAACTACAAATTCTTTCCTTTCCCCTGACAGGTGAAAATATTGTAATTGGAAAGAAGATTTTTGGTTATCTGCACTTTACTTTGAGTAGTTTATACGTTGCTCTTCACTTTTATTCTTCTTGTAAAGGCTAAGTCTATGTTTAAATTATCTTTCTCTATTAAGATACTTGTTCTCTGCTAATAAGATCATTTTCTTTAACTTGGAACTCAAGAATTTCACTATTGACAATTATTAATATTGAATTTTAATTTCATTATTCAATATTGATATTGAATTTCATTTTTCTTTTAATCTTTCCCAGGCCTTAAAGAAGCCCTTCAGGCTGCAGAGTAAATTACTTATTTACATAATGAACATTTTCTCTACTAATTGAGCTAATTTTTCTCTCTTATTTTCTGTATGATGGAAAGCCTATGTGCTCCATGTTACAACTCATGTAAATGTACATCAAGATGCTATCTTTTGCTCATTTTTTCATATCTTTTCAGTTTTGTTACGAATATTAAGGTATTCCTTCAACAAGAAATTCCAGTAGATTAAATTGGTTCTTAGTAGATACCCACAACTTCCACTTTGTGTATTAAATTTTAAAATTCAACAGACCAGGCTTAATAGCTCATGCCTGAAATCTCAGCACTTTGGGAGCCCAAGGTGAACAGATCTCTCAAGTCCAAGAGTTCAACACCATCCTGGGCAACATGGCAAAACTCCTATCTTTACCAAATAAAAAATTTAAAAAGATATATTTTTTGATATACATTATATACATATAATTAAAATTCTTGATTCAGGCTCTTGAAAATATTTTACCTGCTAATTTAACCTTCTTAAAACCCCTTTATTATTCTTTAAATTTAAATTTCCCACATGGGTTTCCAAGTTCTACTTCAGTGGGAATGTGTATTCTTTATATTCAGCTTCACCTTTTTCTTGGTGACCCATGTTCACCTAAGTTCAAAAAATACTTAATATTGGCTGCACATTGAAATCACCTGTGGTGTTTTGAAATTACACTTTACTGGCTTCCAAAAGGGCTTATAGGACATGGAACTGTCCTGGTGACATGCCCTTCAGTGAGCTGTCAAGGTTGAGTTCTACTACTCAACTTGGTTGCTGGTTTTGCTTGATTATGGTTTAGTATACTCTCTACCTTGTCTCCCTTATCTGTTAACTGAACAACGATTATGACATTGGAAGCTAGAGCATAAATATTGGATCACAAGTTAGAAAACTTATGCTGAGAAATTGCATAGCCATAAACTGAAAGAAACTAAGCTCCCCAAATCACAATTACCCTTAGAGCATAAACCTGAAAAACTGACTTTTTAAAAATTAAAAATATTTATTTATGACTTATATAATACACAATAACTTTTGGGTTCATTTTACAGCTGCTTTACCAGTATCTTAAATAAAATAAATACTTAATAGAGATTAAACTCTATCTCAAGCAGCATGGTGGTAGTAGGGGTGAGCAAGGGAGGGTGGGGAAAATGTCCTCACATGCCCTCCATATTTTCTTGGGCAAGTGTTAATTTTCCTCTACTTATATTTTTTTTCTGTGTAAATCACAATTGGACATGATGCCTACACTATCTCATTCATTAATCTGAATATTTTCAGATTAAGAATAAGGGGTTTAAAATAATTTGCTAATATCAACTTTTCTCCAAGTATTTGGGTCCATGTAGCCCAAATAACTTCTGCCTCTAATATACTCTGCAATTCTAGTTGGCTTATTCAAAGAGAATTTCTCTATTAATATGCATCTTGAGGTAAATCATTTTCCTTCTCTGTCCTGCTCTGAATTTTGTCTCATTGAACTAAAATAAAACCACTTATTTTAATAATTATTCATATACGTTTTTCTGTAATTGTATGGTTTGTGATCACATGTCTTGTTTTGATAATGTAAGTTATATGATATTGGAGTCAGCACTTTATTCTACTTTATAATCTCTTTGAATCCTGGCATTATGTTAGACAAATGACATATATTATATTAATATGACATTTTTATCATTAAACTAGTTATATGTATATACTGTAAGAAAATGGTAACATTATAGAAGCATAAAACTCAAAGTCTATTGTATTCCTATTCTTCAAAGGAATAAATTCTAAACAGTTAAATACCTTAATTTACAGTTAGTTATCTGTTGGTATGCTATCATCTATTGTATTTATCATTTATTTTTTAGAAATGAGGTCATTCTGTAAATACTCTTCAGCAGTTTACTGTCTGTCACCAACAAAAAATCTTAAGCATTTTTGATGTTAATATATATTTTTGTAACTAATTTATTATAAGAGCTAAATAATTTCATTGCTATTTTTGATTTAATAGAAATGTCTTTATACTGTGAGGCTTAAGTGAAATTTGTAGCTCTATATACAAACAGGGAGTTTAATGATATACATTTAATATAAAGATAGACATATATTGGGGAAAGTGTAGTATCATCTTTTAGGGATAAAGGTGAGCTAAGTATGAATTTTTTTCCTCTGAACACCTGTTTTCTTCATCCTCCTCCTTAGAATTTTCCTCCCCCTCTCTTTATGGTACCTCAACTGATCAAAGTGAGCTGCATTTGCTTTCTTTATTGGAATACAGCCCCCGCTTGATACACAGACTAAGTGAAAGACAACATGGTTTCCAGGGGAAGAAAGCATGGACTATTGTATATGTCAAGCTTCAGTCTAGGCTTAAGAGTAGAAATCATTTTCTTTTCATATTTGTAGACTGATTAGCTTGGTTTTCTATAGCATTAAAACAAATTTCAGGAATAAATAAGGCTGAAAATCAACAGCTCAGGCATGTATAATATCTCTTCCACTATCACCTAAAACTTAATTAGAAATTAAATTAATTATTGGAGGTTCACCTCATGTATTTACATCTTCTCAATGTAATAATAAAATAAAAGAGTTTATATTCCCAAGGACCAAGAGAACTGCAGGAAATGCCACAGTGGATCTGATGTTTCAATAAAATTTGAAGACAATAGGGAAGTAGAAGAGCAGTTAACTGATTTAGGAAGCAAAGTTATTACCTGTGTGACTGCAGTGTGGAATGCCAATGAGTTTAAAGCTGATTGTGTCACGGAGCCTGCTATAGTCTCACATGAAGAAATTAAGTACTGCAAAAGGCTGGGATTGGTTAGAAAGACTTATCAAAAATCTGAGTACAATGCAAGTTAGAATCTTCGAATACTATTTCTCATTGGGAGTCATCCAGCAATACCCATTTTCTACATGGTAGAGAACAAGGTATATTCTGTGAGTAATCTCAATGAGAGATACTTCAGATGCAGAAGCAGAAGCCACTCCAAAAGTCTGGAGTAAGTTACTTGTTGAAAACTGGAGGATTGATTAAAAATCTATGCATCAACTGTGGCACATTTACCTCTTTCTGGGTCCAGCTTTTGCAAAGCAAATGGGGAGGTTTATACTCTATAAACAAGAGAGAGGCGAAAGAAATTCCTAGGTTCACAAAAGAACGCCAGCTCAAGGCACCAACAAGTTTATTGTGATCCTTGAGGATTGAGTTCTGTAAAAAGATCTCCATTTATGAACAGAAGAAAGGTGGGGAGCATTAAATAGCTATATGTTTGGTAGGTGTACCTTTGACAAAATTTTTGAATCATATATGGCCGATCTATTAGAGCATTTGGAATAAAACTAGAAATGTTATTTGGAAAAAATAAAAAGAAATAACTGCCAGAAGAAACAAACAATTTTAAAAAGATAATTTTGAGAATTGGGGTTGAAATAGATACAGAGGCATCAGCAGGTTGTTTTTCATTGTAAGTGTTTTTAGGCTTTAAATAAATAATTTTTTTTAATTATGTGCTTACACTACTTTAACAAACAAAGTACTTTAAAAAATAGTATTTAGGGATTCAGGGACAATAGTATGGGTAATAAACACAAATATTAGCTTATCAATTGTTCCCTTCCATTATTTCCTTCATTTATAGCTTGCCTTTGTTGATCATTCATAAAATTACACATATTTAAATACCTATATGAGTGAGTTAATTATTTGAATAAGACATGTTATTGGGATATATGAAACCTTTTTTATAGTATTTACATAAACAGGAGTTTGAACAATAGAAAAAATTTAAAAGTTAAAGTATTAATAAGTAAGATACTTTTGATGAAAGAAGTTAAGAGGAAACTGGTAAAATAAAGTTGCTTTTTTAAAAATAGGGTCTTGCTCTCTTGCCCAGACTAGAGTACAGTGGCACCGTCCTGGCTCACTGCAACCCCAAACTTCTGGGCTGAAGTGATCCTCCAGCTTCAGCCTCCCAAGTAGATGGGACTACAGGTACAGGCCACCAAACCTGGTTAATTTTTAAACATTATTGTTTTGGTAGAGATGAGGGTCTTGTAATATTGCTCAGGCTGGGATCCTCCTCCTTCAGTCCCTGAAAGTGTTGGGCTTATAGGTGTGAGCCACTAAACCTGGCCTAAAGTTGCTTTTAAAGAAGTTGATGCCTGTAACAGAGCAGAAGCAGAATAAAGCACAGCAAAGAAACGGAAACCTTAAAATAAAACATGAATAATTTGAATTTGTAGATTTTCAAATAAATTACAATATGTAGTGGATGCTACATAGCAAAAGCATAAATTCATAACTCTCAAATAAACACTAATACATGTTAAAAATATTGTCCTGGAAACAATTTATCTTGGACCTTCTGGCCGAAGCAGACAAGGTATTCATCAAAACTGTTTCTTCTTTCTCAGAGAGAGCTAAACAACATTTACCAGCCTACCATATAGTTATGGTGGAAAAGGTTATATTACCAAGATTTAAACAACAAAAAGTGATCAGAAGGTGTATGTGCTTTATATCCAGTCTGTCCATAGAATCTTCCATATGTTTTCCTCTAAACTCTTTTTGATTTCTTTTGCTTGATACTAATAATCACTGAACTCTTGGAAGCCCTTTGGCATAGATGGCAGAACTCCAAATGAAGGAAGCCTGGATACAAATATCAGCATTGCTTTGAGAAACATCAATCAGACATTTATTTTTACTCTGTATGATCATCCTATTTAATATATATATTGCCTATGTATTACAATAACAAATATATTTTAACTAATATATTCCTTACGTAAAATGAGTAAGATGACCCAGCAGGTAAAATAGTGATGTCAAACTAGGCAAATAACGCTCTCCAACTGAGATCTCCAGTGAGAGAGTATGCAAGAACACTGAAGCAGAAGATGTGCTCTTAATTTTCCAAAAATAATCCAATTAAACCACTAAGATACATTTTAGAAAGGGAGACTTCTGGATTAAACATGATTTTTTTTTTAATGTACAATGGCAAATTGTACTCAAGAATGGTGGTAGCATCTAATATTCCTATGTGGAATTATAATATTATGTGATTGGGCTTTCCTCCCCTTAACTTTACTAGTTCTCTCTTAGTTCTTTCTCTTCTAGTGCTTATTATCTTTTTCTTATTAATGCATGAGGATATTTTGTATGATATGGAACTATATTTATAAATGTTAAGTACTATATATATATATACATTTTTTTCTAGACAAGGCCTTACTCTGTTACCCAGGCTGGGGTAAAATGGCATGATAATATCTCACTGCAACTATGACTTCTGGGCTCAAGTAATCCTCCTATCTCTGTCTCCCAAATAGCTGGAACCACAGGCATGCACCACCATGCCTGGCTAATTTTAAAAAATTGTTTGTAGAAACAGGGTGTTGTTCTGTTGCCCAGCCTGGTCTAGAACTCCTTGCCTGAAGAGATTGTCCCATCTGGGCCTCCCAAAGTGCTGGGAATACAGGCATAAGCCACTGTGCCTGTACTATATTTAACACTATTCAAAAATTCAATTTTTATTTAATACTCAGCATTTGAACAACCATCTTTAGAGTAACATATTAACCTTCCATGGCCCTAGATTTACTTGCTATAGAAGAAAAAATGCCCTTCATAGTGTCTATGCATGATAGTTTACACCAATCTTCAATGTAAACTGGTATTGTCAAGACATTAGTATATGCAAACATCCATGAGAACACACTTTTAGAAATCCAACCTTGAACCAATTTGGGGAAATGTCATATACAGAAATAATCTCTGGCACATGTTAAGTAGCTATGACTTTTTATTTTTTTTAATTTTTATTATTTATTTATTTATTTTGAGACAGAGTCTCACTCTGTTGCTCAGGCTGGAGTGCAGTGGCATAATCTTAGCTCACTGCAGCCTCCACCTCCTGAGTTCAAGCAATTCTCCTGCCTCAGCCACCTGAGGATCTGGGATTACAAATGCCCACCACCATGCCCAGCTAATTTTTGTATTTTTAGTAGAGACAGGGATTTACCATGTTGTCCAGGCTGGTCCTGAACTGACCTCAAGTGATCTGCCCACCTTGGTCTCCCAAAGTGCTGGGATTACAGATGTGAGCCATCCTGTCCAGCCAGCTGTGGCTTTTTAGTAACCTTGAAACGGAGAATAATTATTACTTACAGGCATCCTGAGGATCTTTCACACATTTTTGTTATTAAAATTGGACAGGATAAGTAAAACAGATAGTTTAAAATTAATTATATTTTATTAACAACTAACATAGATTTAAGTCTCTTACAGTCATGTGGGATTACTATTATAATTTCTATATTTACAGTCCTCTTAATTTTCTAAGTGTTTCTGTAATGATGATTCGACTTAATTCTCATAGCAGCATAGTAAAAAGAGATTATTGCTTCTAATTTATAGATTACATTAAGAAAGGGAGGTTTTTAAAATATAACTAAGTGAATCTCTATGTCAAACCACTGTCTCCCTCTCCTTTCTCTTCAAAAATCATTTTCGTCAATGTTTCTTCATAAATGTTCTTCAGAACATAGTTTCAACACAATGATCTGTAATAAAATGTTCAATATTATTTAGAGAAAATCTGCCTAAAATGCTAAAAGTATGAGAAATTCAACTGTCATTAAAATGTATGTATATTGATTTTCTTTAAATAGAATTTTCTAAAATGATTCTATTACAGAACTTGCTGTTCATGTAATACCTATTTATATTGTAAGAATAGAACTTTAAACCAAAAACTTACAGAATTCTGAATGCTTGTATTTCAAAAGACTTTGTGCCTCTTGAAGTGTTGTGGATCATTTCTAAATATCAGAAAAATTAAAGCTCCCTAGATATTTACTCTTACAATATACTTATTCTTATAACTTTGATCTTGGGTAGTTCTAACATGTCTGCATTTTTTATAGAATTTTACTCTAAATTTAACTGCAGGCTTGGCAATTATTTGTGTAAAATAAATTAGCAAATATTCAAATTTATCTTCATTTATCTATTCATGTTTCAAAAATGTATCATGTAGCAAGTTTTTTGGTAAGCACTGGGAGGTATATAGTGAACAAATGATATGCAAACCATGTGCTTTAGTGTTATAAATATAGTATAAGAACAGATATGAATTTCTCACAGTTATTAAATGTTTACTAAGGGCCAACAGGTATTCTATATACATCATATATATTACCTTACTTAATTTTTCAACCTTATGTTTTATTCTTACTCTCTATAAAGGAAAGACCCTCCCCAAAGGTTAAATAATTTTGGTACAAGGTCACAGAGACAAGTAATGGCAGAACTAATATTTG